GTGCGCACACCTTTGACTGCATGCGTAGATGTGACAACCTCTTGGTTGCCTACTTGGGTCCGACAAGGATTCTGCAAAGTCACTTGCTTCATCCCCAAGCGTGCCTTACGAATGCCATGCGGTGAGAAGTAGTTGGCGGTTGCGCCACAATCAGCCAACGCACGGATGTAACGGCCATTAATGTAGAGTTTGAAGAAAATCAGCTTCGTTCTCCCTTGCGCGCGTTCTTGCTTCATATGAGCCCAACGCGTCAACAGAGCATGGAAGTCAATCTCTTCCGACTCTACCCAAGGCTCCTTGTATAGGGTGTGAATCTTCTCAGCTTTGGAATCAGCATCAGAGGGGGTTTCACGAGAGGTTTGCTGAGTGGGATCAGAATCCAAAGAAGGATCTGTACTTACATGTTCCGCCTCTCCATCCGTAGAGTGTGCTGATGATGCCTCTACCCCCGTTGCTGGTTTCCTTGCTGCAATCTGAAACATTGTTGGACTGAATGTCCCGGTTTGGTGCAATGCAGACAAACTCCTTTCTTCACCCTGTGTTTCCACTCACTTTCACTGATCCGGAGATCTACCCATGGTTTTGTGGCAGGATCTTCCGGTTTGGGTGGAATCTTTGCTCCCTTGGGAAGAAGGATAGTGTTAGTGTTGTTCTTCATCGTGGTCCTCGGTCCCTTACTTTTAAAGGCAGTCTTTTTAAAGGCATTCATAGATTCTTCGTCATTTACATTCTCAGACTCATGGGCTGACAAAGAGCAAGATGCCCCGTAGTCTTGCTCTTGATCGTCATCAAGAGAAGATTCATCCACGAGGGTCTCCTCGTCAGCCTCAAGCAGATCATGTGCTGCAAAACAGTTGCTGCCAGGAAAACGCTTGCGGCTGGTGGCCTTTTTGCCACTTGATCCACCCGGGAGGTCTTGTGCCTCCAGCTTGATTAAATCCCGCATGAGGGTAAGCCAATCTGTATATCTGCTGAGCCCGAGCCCTAGGCGATCTTTCAAAGTAAAGGGGACCGTTCCTTTTATCACATCCAGGCAGGACTGCGCAGTCATCTCCAAATCCGGAGTAGCAAAGAGTTTACTAACATACTGCTGCAGGCTGTGCATGGTGCCGGTCCACTTGCTGTGCTTGAGCTTGTCAAGCTTAAGTCTTGCTTTAGCTGCAGCATGTGGATCAACATATTGTTTGATCAAGAGATCCTCAAGTGCGGCAGTAGGCGTAGCCTTTAGCCATTTGTTCAGGTTTGTTCTCTTATAGCCTGATTGGACAGCTTGGGTTTCCAGGAAACCTCTCACGACGGGCTCCACATTGGTCCCTAGGATAGACGACTGAGTGGACGGGGGTGTCCTCAATACATCAAAGTAGGATCGCATGGAGCTGATCCAAGACTCGAGATCGTCCTTTTCGTCATACTTGGACGGAATCTGCGCCGCCTTCCTGTCGATGTAAGCAAAGCTGCCGCCTGGCCCAGCCATTGCTGGGTCCGGGCCCGGGGCTACAACAGTTCCAGAATTCCCTGCACCACCGCTTGCCGCTGCAGCAGCAGTAGCAGCAGGGTCTGGACCTGCTGCAGATCCGGATTGGCTGTTAGCCACACTCAAGGATGAAGAAGAAGTAGAAAAAGACACATTTAGAGGGGCAAAAACAGACTGACACGCAGCACTAGAAGCAGGGTAGGTAGATGGAAAGGTGCTTTGGGCTGGCTGCACATTAGCAAGCTGTTGCAGCTGGTCACGGTGCTGTTGCGCCATCAGGGCCATGTCCTCGCGCAACTTCTTAAGCTCGTCGAATACTTTGGCGAGTTGGCCAGCGTGGTCCTCAACAGTCCGGACATCCACCAAAGCCCGGAGGAGTGGAACGGTTTTCTCTTCCACCTCCTCATCGGTTAGGGCAGGCAAGGTACAGAAAATGGCTTCATGAGCCTTGACCTTCTCCT